ACTTGAGGTCAGGAGTTCAAGATCAACCTGACTAACATGGCGAAACCCAGTCCCTACTAAAAATGCCAAAATTAGCAGGGCATGGTAAACCATGCCTGTGGTCCCAGCTACTCAGGAGGCTGAGGCAGGAGAATCGCTTGAACCCAGGAGGTGGAGGTTGTAGTGAGCTGAGATAGCACCACTGCACTCCAGCCTGGGCAACAGACCAAAGACTCCATCTCAAGAAGATGAGGCAGGAAATAAAATAAATGAGAAGATGGGTGCTGAGTTTGTAAAGGTGTTGGAAAGTTACAGGGGGCTTTGCTTCCCCTGAGTGCCCTTGCACAGCCTGACCAAAGGCAAGCCATGTTAACGAATGGATGGATGGACAAATAATCTCCATCCACAGAGGGCGGTGGTGTTACCTAGTGCAATTGCATAGAGAAGCAATTTGGCAATACCTATGAAAAACTAAAAATACGCATACCCCTTGCCTCAGACTTTCTATTTGGGGAACTATAGCCTTCAAAATGACTCTCAGAAGTGTGTAACAATAAATATAAGTACATTCATTGCGATGTTGTTTGTAATTGAGGGGAAATAGATAAATATTACCAAGCAACTGAGAAATGATTAAGTAATAATCAGGATACAGTCAGACAGTGGACTATTCGGCAAATCTAGAATCTGAGAGTTAGTATTAAGTGTGGGAAAAGTTATGAAAACAGCATGGATGGGGAAGAAAAGATAATTTTTTCAGGACAAAAGAATTCCAACGTATCAACTAGATAGCCTCAACATATTTCCACCCAAAGTATCTCCAAATACTTACTAATTGCAAAGAGAATAGTCAGTTGTATCTGTTGACAGTGGAGAAACCCAGAAGATGCCTTCTTAACCAAGTAATCCAGGTTAACATCACCAGTAACATCATCAGACACACAAACACCATGCAGCCCCAGAGAGAGACGCATTACTTCTGGGGGGATTCCTAACTAAAACGCATAATCTCAATCTAATTATGAAAAAGCAACAGAAGGCCAGTGCGATGGCTCACACCTGTAATCCAAGCACTTTGGGAGGCCAAGTCAGGTGGATCAGGAGGTCAAGAAATCGAGACCATTCTGGCCAACATGGTGAAACCCTGTCTCTCCTAAAAATACAAAAATTAGCTGGGTGTGGTGGTGCATGCCTGTAGTCCCAGCTACTCAGGAGGCTGAGGCAGGAGAATTGCTTGAACCCAGGAGGCGGAGGTTGCAGTGAGCTAAGATCATGCCTTTGCACTCCAGCCTGGGCAACAGAGCAAGACTCTGTCTCAAAAAAATAAAAATAGAAATAAAATCAAGGATATCACATAGGACACAGATGGGACGATGCATAGGGTGAGGTATGGGGGAGCAGCACACCATCCTCCAGGAGCCTCCGGGGGTCCAGCTTCTGGAAGCTCTCCAGGCCCTGTCCTTCAGGGCTTTTATGGAGGTTCATTACAGAGGCATGATTGATTAAACCATCTGCCATTGGTGAGCAACATAACTTCCACCCCTTCTCCCCTCTAAGGGAAAATGGGAGTGGTGCTGAAAGTCCCAGCCCTCTACTCCTGCCTTGATCTTTCTGGAGTAGCCCCCATCTGAAGCTACCTAGGGGCTGCCAGCCATTAGCATACGAAAAGACACTTACCTCTTTGGAGATTCCATAGATTTTAGGACTTATATGCCAGGAAATGTGGACAGCAACCCATTATGTATTTTACGATATCACAAAGGGGAACCAGCCTCCAGATGAAACCAGCAAAATGGGAGGCAGAGTGGAGAGACAAGGACACTGGTCCAGGAGCTACTGATCCAAGCCTCACCTGAAAGCTGCGTCACTTCCAGACATCCGGGCTATGTAAGCCACTGATTCCCTCTCAGGTTTAAGCCAGTGGAGTTTCAGCTCTCTACTGCTTGAGACTGAAAGAGTCTTGACTAACTCCTGTGAGACTGGATCCATGAAAACAAAGGCTGTCATCACAAGCAGGGTTCTCATCCTATGTCAGCTCCGTTTCCCTCTGGATTGGTTTTGCCCTTAGGCAGGCCCTGCCTTCCTAGTGACAAGATAATATCTAAAATCCAAATTCAGCTTAGCAATCCCCCTGGAAGAAAAGTACATCTTTTATACCAGTCAGGTGTCGGCTGCAACAATGCCGTGTAACAAGCACTCTGAAATCTCAGTTGCTTGTAACAATCATTCCTTTCATACTCACGGGTCTACAGGTTAGTGGGGAGTTGTTAATATCAGAGTTAGGCTGGACTCCAGTCTTCAGGTTGGGTTCAGTTTGCCCCACAGTCTCCATCCTGGACTCCAGATGAAGGCGCCATGGTCACCTGGGTGTGCCTTCCTGTTGGGATTCACTTGGGGTGGCTGGCAAAATATTGGGGAAATATTAGGGAAATTATAAGATCATAGCCTCAAACCTTTTGGAAGGCTGAAAAGCTTTAATGGAAAGGGCTGAAGGCAGCCAGTTCTTACATTACAACTTTAAGTCGCAGGGTAAAGATCAATAATAAAAGCTTCCCCTGTTAAGTCTGTTTACTCCACATTCCTTTGTCCCTACTCTGTTTCCTCATGTAAACTTTTTGCTGATGGTCCTCTCAGGGGGAGGTTGAAGGGGATTTGCCTGTTAATGGCTTTTATTCTGGGCCCCGGAACCAAGACCTTTTATCATTCATAAAACCACTCCTTTAACCAGGTTAATTATCCACAAGCATGTTGACTAGAACCTGTTATTAAATCTACACTGAATAAATGTGAGGAGGAATGGGGAGTCATGATTGGTTAGCTGCAACCGCCCTTGGAAAGCAGCTGACGACCATCCCTAGCCACTCAAAGCACTATACTGGGTGTGAGTGCATCTGTTCATCTGTCGCTGAGGCAGGATCTTCAGGACAGATCTCCACAGGTGGAGGTCAGCATCTTAGGTGGTGACCCCAGCGTGTGGCGCCTGAACAGGGACACCAAAGTGACCAGTGCAACACCTTCCTTCCTCATGGTGGTCAGGAGTTCTAGAGGGGCAAGTGGAATCACAAGATGCCACTCTAAGGCCTAGCTTGGAACCCACACACCATCATTTCCACCCACATTCCATTGACCAAAGCAAGTCAAAGGCTGAGCTCATCATGGATGGTGTGGGAAGAATACTCACCCACAGTAAACCACAGCAGGGGAGGGAGGGAAGGAAGAAGCCTCAACAAAACTCCATCAGACACGTCTTCCTTGATCGTGCCTCGAAGGTCTTGGGACCGACTCACTGGCCTGGCCGGGGGTCACTGCCTCAGGGAGGTAGGAGTAAGAGTACAGCTATGGGTCCCCCATGTGGGAGGAAGGGTTATTTCCCAAATGAAAGTCAACGTTTCTGCCACAATAAAGGACAATGGATCCCACATAGGCAATAAATAAATAATTACATAAACCAGTACTCAGCAAATGGCAATGTTCACATAAATCACATGAGCATGCTATTACAATGCAGATTCTAGGAGCCAGGCATGGTGGCTCTGACTGTAATCCCAGCTACTAGGGAGGCTGAGGCTGGAGGATCTCTCAAGCCCAGGAGTTGAAAGCTGCATCACCACTGCACTCCAGCCTGGGTGACAGAGTGAAACCTCACATCTTTAAAAAAAAAATTCATCTAATAAAAAATAATGCAGCTTCTGATTCAGCAGGTCCAGGGTGAAGCCTGAGGTGCTGCATTTCTAAACAGTCCCAGATGATGCTAGCAAGGACCAGTAGCAACAAGCAAGACTGAATTGGAAGGGTCTCTCAGCCTTCCGATACCACATTCTCATTTACCAAATGATAATTCCACCTGCCACACAGACTTTTCTCAGCCAGGAAGATGGTGCCCTCAGGGGGATAAGGTGATGCGACATTTGTACTATCACTCACCTCCTGCCTGATCCTGCACCTCGAAGCCTCCCTCAGCCTCCAGGAAAGGACTCATGGTCCAGCCAGCAGCAAGACGGGAGGACGATGTCACAAAGCAAGAGCGGCTTCCGTTAACTGCCTTAAACTGCTCCCTGCAATGATGTTGGTGTAATCCATAAGATTCAATTATGGTTATCAGACAATTAGGCACACCACAGCGAGGTTACCGCATAATTAATGCTCAGCCCCCGTCGCAGCCTCTGACAGTGGTGCAGGTGACAAGATTCACCTGCCCCGAATCTGGGAGAGGAGCAGGGGCACCCGGGATGGGGAATGACACCCCCTCAGGCTCAGAGGAAGATGTTCTTAGGACCCCAGAGGCATGGCAAAGGGACAGTGTGTGGCTGAAAGGGCTTGAGTGCGTGTGTGCCCGTGGCCTCATGCCTGCCATTGTGTTGAGAACCTGGGCTTTAGCCTCTGGGGCGAAGCTCAAATCCTGCCTCGACTACTATGTGGCATTAAGCTCTCGCCTCGCATTTTTAAAGCCTCCACCTCCCTGTTTTTTAAAGAAGGGAACTGACGGTGTTATGAAAACTGGATGGGAGAGTTTGCACATTGGTTAGATGGTTCCTGCAATGCTATTTTCATTATTTCCCTGTCTGGGCCTCAATGTCTTCATCTGTAGAATGGGAGTAATTACCTCACCTTGCCTAGGCTTGAAAGATCATCCTGTAAGTCAAGTAAGACACACATGTGAACGGCATGTGCAGAGCGCTTTGTAACGCCATTGTCTTAGTTACCAGGTGCCTGGTTTTCTGCTCAACCCTGCAGGGAACGACTTTATACAAGTCCCCAGGTCTCAACAAGACAGTGGGTGATTAGCCCACTTGAGAAGTGAAACTCGTGATTTGGGTGAGTAGACTGGAGGAGAATCATTCCTTTTTTTTTTTCTTTCAGACAGAGTCTCGCTGTGTCGCCCAGGCTGGAGTGCAGTGGCGCGATCTCAGTGACACCTTCCAATCCACTGGCCTCTCCGAAATTGGCAATGACCATTTTCCCACGACCCCTTCCCGCTGAGCGTGTGATTCCAAAACTGTCCACCAGAAGGTGCTCGGGAGCCAGAATTCAGGCGTTCTCGGCCCGCGGACGCTGAGTGGGAGCTTCGGAGTACGCGGGGACCCACCCTTCCATCTGGTAACTGAGAAAGCCAGGGGAAGGGACTTGCTAGGCTCACAGCCAGTGATCCCTGCCCTGTTTCCTTATGGGCATGACGGTCAAACATGGGGAGTGGGGCAGAACCTGTCACTGTCACGGTCCTGTTTACAGAGGAAGTCGCAGAAACCAGTGCGGTGGACGGTTCGCGGGCGTTGTCAGGCGCTGTCCCAGCTCACCGGCTCTGTGACCCTGGGTAAGTTGCCTGGCTTCTCTGTTCCTCCGTTTTCTCTTCCCTGACCCAGTCTCCCCGACCCCCTGGGGGCCCCGTCCCCTCTCCATGAGCACCTTCAGAGCTCGGCCTGTTTTCCCCACTCATATGGCATCTCAGCTGTCCCCTCCCGGGTTAGGCCTCCCTGGCCCCTATTTAACGGTGCCCCCATCACTATCTTATTTGTACCATCCCTTGCTGCCTGACAATGCTCGTTTGTTCACATGTTTATTTTGTCTCCTCCAGGAGAATGGGAACTTCATGAGAGCAGGGACGTGGGGGTGTCCTGCTCACCGGCGCCCGGAGCCCAGCTCTCCCTCCGGGCTCCGGGAGAGGCGGCCTCAGCCGTGTGCTGGTGCTGCCCTCTAGTGGCGCTGGGTGCCCATGGCACCTGGCTTGCTCCTCCTCCCCAGGGGGTCTTTTCTTCTCCCACCCACCTGTCACCAGCCCCCAGGGCACGTCTCTGTGTGACTCTAGAGTGCAGGTGGAGGGACCTTGCCTCCTAGGATTCATCCCACCTGAATTCCGAAGACTGAGAGACCCTCTCTGGTACCTGGTGTTTGAATGGCCACCGTCACGGTTAATAAAGACGAGTTTAGTATCAGCCTTGGGATCTGTCCAGGAAAAGACACTTTCGGGGCAGAAATACAATGGTGCCTGTCTCTACATAATCTAAAACAGACAGCAAGACAAGCCAGTCCAATGGCCCCATTTTACAGATGAGGTGGCTGCATCCCCACCCAGGACAGGAGGGTACGCTGCCTGGCCTAAGATAACCCTAGAATACGGTCACTCATTCTCCCACCCACTGAGAAGCTCAGGGCAGCTGCGTGTTATGCAAAGCATGTGTTCTGAACACCTTGCATAATTCAAAGCGTGCATAATTCCTGACTCATCTCACCATAGAAATGAATGCAAAGTAGAAAGGATGTGTTGCATGAATCTACCCCAATTGTGGCATATTTTTGCTTTAATGCTGCTTTTTATTTTCCCAGCATTATCGCTAATATTTCATAACGCACTCTCTGCTAAATTAACAGTGCAGCGTTTCCTGCCGGTGGTTTGGCCTTCTTCATAACGTTTTATCACATCTCACTTCCTTTCCAATGTTATTGATTTTCAGGTGCGTTTTTCAGCATCACCACTTAAAGAACACTTGGATGACATTGTTACAGGATATGGGTAAAAGATTTAAAGTATTATAACTGTGGACGTTGAGAAAACAGCATACTCGTCAGCAGAATCTCCGGCAGAAATTAGACATTCAGAGGCACGTCAACAACAGTGCGTGCATATAGAGAGCAGGTATTTCTATTTAATAACCAAAGCAAGGTCACCATGTGGCGGGTTTACAATCCTCAGTTAACAGCTCACTTAGTTCCTCTGACGCAAGGAAACTGCAATTCTTGACGGTTTGTTTTAACTGAGGGGATTGGCATTATTTCCAGCTTAGTGCATAAACACGTATTCGCATTTTTATGTTGCACCTTACCAAAGTCACATAGTTTAGATTCCCATAAACGGTGACTTCCCTAAATGGTCTTCCTTGCTGTGTCCTTAACCCCAGAAGGGTGGAAATGTACGACTCCACCCAGTCATCTCAGATATGGACTTCAGAAATTCCAGCCACCCTCTTCATACTTATACGGGGGCCCCTCTGGAGCCAGCATCAGCCGAGGCCCCTCTTGCCCAATTTGGCTGGCCCCACCTCCTCCCCGATGTCATCTTCTCTTGCAGTCTAGAGAGGGGGCTACCCCCACAACGTGGGATCCATATTTAGATCCGTGTTGGAGGGTGGGTAGACAGGGGAGGTAGGATGAGGGAAAACTGAGTCTCAGTTTCACACATTTATAAGATTGTCAGACTTTCCACATTATCAAGAAGCTCGTCAGCACAACTCCTGTGAATTGGCTGTTTGGCCTTCCTCTGCCCAGAACTGCTTTGGGAATGGCTCCTTCAGCTTGGCCTGAGCCTGGCCCCAGAAAGACTGCCAGGCTCTAGGAAGGAGGAAAAGTGGGCAGTCAGGGCGGGCTCTGAACCCACTGGAATTCCTGTCCTGATGCCACTCGCATGTGGCCTTGAGCAATTCCCTGTACCAGACACTTCTCCTCTCTGGGCCTCAGTTACCACCTCTGTAGAATGGGGATAATAATACTGTCTACTTCCCAGAATTGGTGCCAGAATGAAAAGCAATCCCCCTGTGATAGGGCCTAGAACAGAGTAAGTGCCCAATAAATGTTACTTAGTTCTTGTTGCAGTTAGAAAAGCGACTGGATGAGGCGTGCATTGACTAGGACCCCGGGATGGATGAGGGCCAGCATTGGGGTGAGGTGATCCGGCCCCTCAGGGAATTTATGGTTCAACTTTGGAGAGTGAACCTGCCCTCCCACTAATTCAGGAATTCACCAGCCAGGGGAGCTGCATGGGGCATGGCCTTGTCCAGCCCTGACTTTGCCCAAGTGTCCACCAATTCACCTTCTGCCTCTGGGCTGCCTCTGAGACTTCAGGGGGCGTGGCCAGGAGCCTAGGGGCCTCTCACCCTCCAGGTACCCCGTCAAGCCCACACCTCCCCCTGGTCCACCCCTCCCCCTGCAGCAGCAAATCTGCAAATGTGCCTTGCGAGCATGTCCAGCAGACCAGAAGCCACGCTTGTCCCACCCCTCAGAAGACAGGAGAGGTACCTGCCGCAAAGGCGGCAGTTGGAACCTGGTTCCTGCCTCGCGATGTGGGGGAGGGGATCTGCCTTCTCTCCTGGGCCCCTGCCACCCAGGTTTTTCCTCCTTGGTGCTCATATTCTATTCCCTGGTGCTCATATTCTAATCCCTTGCTCTCTGAGGGCCTCGGCTTTCCCCTCTGAATGGGCAGCCTGGGCTTCTCCAGCTCCTTCAGCCAAAACGTTCTCATCTCCCCACCTCCACCCCAGACTTGCCCCTGACACCCTGGTCTCTCCCTCTCTCCTCTGCTGCTCTGGGGCCTGCCCCTGGGGCCACTGAGGCTACTGCTGGATGGGCTCCCAAACACCAGAGAGATACCCCAGAGAACAGTAGCGGAAGGAAGAGGACCATTCTTCAGGAGGAGAGAGCGCAATGGTCTAGCTTGGCCATGGTCTAAAGCTCCCCGCGCCATTCCTGCCTCTTCTGCCATGTCCCCACATCTCTGCATATGTGAGTCTCCCACCGGACGAGGACCCTGAGGGCAGGAGACACCCAGCCTGTCCTCATTGTATCCCCAGCACCTGGGGGCTGTGGCCTGTTTCCTGGCTGGACAGAATAGGCATTCACCCGGCAGGTGCAAGGATGGTAATGTTTTCCCGGCCTGTAACCTGAATTCCAAGTGTCCACTCAGGGCCGAACCATGCGGTCAGGAAAGGACTCTCACTGGGCACGGTGGCTGACACCTGTAATCCCGACACTTTGAGAGACCGAGGCAGGTGGATGACGAGGCCAGGAGTTCAAGACCAGCCTGCCCAACATGGCAAAACCCCATCTCTACTAAAAATACAAAAATCAGCCAGGCGTGGTGGCGGGCATATGTAGTCCCAGCTACTTGGGAAGCTGAGGCAGGAGAATCGCTTGAACCCAGGAGCTCGAGGTTGCTGTGAGCCGAGATCCATTCCAGCCTGGGCAACAGAGCAAGATTCTGTCTAAAAAAAGAAAAAGAAAAAGAAATGACTCTCTCAGTGACTAACCTAAGTCTACAGAAATAAAAGAAAGGACTCTACCTCAGGCCCACGCTTCCCTCCCCTCTCCGCCTCCCTTTCGCCTCTCCCCCAAGCCCCTCTTCTGCTTGCCTCCAGCCTCCCACCTGGAGACTCAGTCATTTCTGGCTCTTTCTGACTCTGCTTCAGAATGAGAAAAAATATGGGGAAGCAGGGGCCTTTGTTCATAAGGACAAGGGAACGGAGATGGAACCCTCATGATGGTCTGGCTTCTGACAAGATGTCTAAAACTCACATAGAACCGTCTCCTAGGGGAAATCACCCACCTGCATAATTTTCATATCCAATTATACTACAAGAGTGTCTATGTCCTTCCTACCTCGAGCTATGTTTCTAAAAACTCTTTATCACGTGAGTCATGAAAGGTGCTAGCTTCCAATAAGCATGCATGGGGAGAGGACAGACAGCCAGGAGTAGAAATATATGCTGCCTGGTAATACTAAAGAATCGCTACACTGTTTCAACAAACCCAGGTCCTAGTGTCAGACTGAAATTTCTCCTCCTCTAGGAAGTCCTTCTGGGTTGGGAAGGAAAGTCTATGATACAAGAAACAGTGTTTGATGTTTCCCAGACCCACCACTTGTTCTCTGTCCCACGCCCACCACTTGGACAGCCCTTTCTCCATAGGTGTCCAAATGCCCTGAGTCTGTCAACGCCAGGCTTGCCAGATGAAAGTGACTACTCCGCTGTTGGAACCCAAGCCCTTCCTTCCCTGGCCCGTGATCACAGGTGCTAAGAGAATTGCTCAGCAGTGGGAGGGAGGGCCAAGCCCTGACTTTACCCAAATGTCTGTCAAGTCACTTTCAGCCTCTGGGTCTCCTCCCTGAGCGTTGGATGTGAGCTTAGAGACCTTTTAGGCTAACCTCTCCCCAGCCCGGGTGCCGCCTCCCCAGATCCTTGACATATTCATGGATGCTGAGGAATCAATATGTTTGTTGAGTGGCCAAATGAATAAATTCAGAACTTGGGGACACCAAGATCTAACGCTCCCTCAAAGTGAAGCCTCTGAGCCTCCTCAAGCCTGCAACGATCTTCCTTTTCCTGATACCAGCCCAGTAACCAAATCACCTTCTAAACCACCAGCCAGCCAGCCATACCCCCAACATGACCCACGTGAAATGATCCAAAAGGTTGACAATACATCCAGTCGCTGGGTTTTTTTTTATTGTAATTAGTAATTATTATGCACTATGTAGGTACTAATAATAAATGAAGTAAACATTCATTTTATTTTATGTTTTGAGACAGAGTCTCACTCTGTCACCCAGGCTGGAGTGCAGTGGCCTGCCTGGTGATGGGCTCGAGGCTTTGATGTGAACTTCATTTAATCCTCATAACCATTCATAAGGGGGGGTTCCATCATTAGCCCCTGCCTTTCAGACCTAGAAATGGGGCGTAAAGAGGTTAAACTTGCCCCATGTAGCAAGCTGGTGACAGGATTTGGGGACTTTATAAAATCATTCTTTATGCAATTGTGTTATCATATTTTTCCATTTTTGTCGTCCTCTTTCAGACTTCTGGCTTTTTTAAATTTCGTGTCCTAATCTATTTTCAGTTCATTACACCTGCCCTGTTTGTTTGGCAATGTTTCTGTAAACTGTCAATCCTGTCTTCCTCTCTAAGAGACTAGAAATATTCGTGGACTTTGTGAAAACATAGCCAAATAGGTAGATGGACATGGATGACTGAAAATGAATTTTTTTTTAATGAAACAACCTAGAAGAAGACAAAATTGCTTTCAAAATGAAGGCAAAAATTGTGAAATCTCCCCAGGGTGCAACGACCTTATCAAGAGGTGAACTAATGGCTGTAAACATTCATTTCCAACCAAATTTCTTTCAGTTGATTCACCTGGAATCCAGAAAAACTTTAAAATTTGTAATAAC